TTTTCACTTAGGTTATTGACTGTCTAAGAGCCCATTTAGGATCATATAGATACACTTAGGAGCATATAGTTACATGTGGTGGAATTATGTTTGTCGTGGCATTTTATTTTGTAAACGGTGCTACTTTATAGGGAAGGTTTTTATTTGGTGATGTGCAAGATTTGTGAGAAAGGAAAACAAAAAAGAAAGTGCCATAACATGATGAGACTGCTGAGCAGAATGCAAATCCCGTTTCGGTTGGCATTTCGAGAGCGAACAAAACGAAAGAAGATATTTTTCAGAGCCAGTTGTCCCTATCTCCATGTGATATCTATCCGATAGGAGACACCTACCTAGAGGGGACCATGCGCTGCTGCAGCTGATCCTGCTGGACCACGCCCTGTTGTAGCTGATTCTACTAGACCTCAACCTGCAGCAGCCTGATCTTGTCGGGTATTCAGCCAGCCTCCTGGGCTAGACCACTGCCAGCTGCCCAAGGGGACCACTGCCACCTTTGCTCACCCTCACGTGAATGAAGCATGATTTGGGGTATCCTAGGAATTTTAACACAAATTCCTAGGTTTATTCTCCCCCTATAAATAGAAGATGAAACCACCTTGCAAAGAGACTTTTACACACATCGCCTTAAACTAGAAAATTTAGTGGAAAAAATGTCTCTCATTTCTTCACCTATCATATTTGTCGTGGCATTCATCTGTTGTCAAGCTATAAGGAGTGGCAAACTAGGCGTCTGAGAGGAGTTAGCTCACTGGGACATTTCGTGGTGGTTGAGGGAAGCTCCGACAGTCCACGTCAAAGGCTTTTCCTCTTTCCCTTTGCTCTTTGCTTTCATTTTTATCATTTGGGTTGTAAGGAACGGATTAACTTCTTGTTTTGTGTTTGAAACATTCGGATCCCACCATGAACTAGTCTTATTTGGTGGGAGTTCATTTTGGATATTTAAGTTTAACTTTAATAAATGGTTGTTTTTGTATGTTGTTATATATTTTGTTTATGAAGTTTAATACCTTAAGGTTGTAGGAGCTATGAGAGTAGTCATTCCTTAGGAGATTAGTTAGTGTTCAAGAGAATGACTAAGTAGCACATCCTTAGTGTTCGAGAGAAACTAAGGAGGAACCACATAAGCAAGGGGTTCTAGGTATTAACTAGGCCTAATCCACCTTAGAGATAAGACTAGGATTTCAGTCGACTAAAAGGAGAGTGTGTGATCGAGAGGTTAGATGTTAATGCTGCTGTAAAAAGGTATTACCATGACATATCATGTTATCTGGACCAATAAGATCCCTACAGTAGCTAACGACAATCGGTTTGCCAAGGCATCTTTAACCTGTCAAGTCCCTTAACTAGAGATAGCATAGGCACTCTTAGTAAACTCTGTCGGTAGATAATGCATAGAAGTAAGACCATTCTGAGAAGTAGACTTAAATTTCCCAAGTGACTCCTGTTATTCATTCCCATAGTAGCTTGTCGTGTGAGAAGTTTAAAGTCCTGATAATCAAATCAACCTTTACATTTTTATTTTGCTTTTACATTTTCATTTGTTTGCCCCGATCACAATTTAATTTACCACGATATATCCATTTGCTTCCACATCATATTACCATCATTCCATTTCCTCAACATCCATTTCATTTTTCCACAACATTATCATTTGTATATACCATCACTAACTTTACTTAGGTGAAATAGTAAATTATTGTGATTAAACTTTTGCATTTCCTCCAATCCTCATGGATACAATACTCACTCATCACTGTATTACTTGTTCGATTATGTATACTTGCACATATTTTTGTTACCATATATACCATCAAAATACGCGAACATCAGATATAAGAAAACATGCCACGTTCAAAAAGTAAAGAAGGTGAAGCTCCTAGTGATGATTGTGGTTGGAGGTGGGGAGAACCTGTTGAAGGTCATCGTAATAATGTTAGATGCAAATTTTGTGATAAAGTTATTAAATGAGGAATAACGAGATTGAAAGAGTAGTTGGCTGCAAAAAAAAGGGAATGTAGCACCTTGTTCAGATGTCTCGGACGAAGTTAGAGAAAACATAGCTCAACAAATACAGGAATTTCACGTTGAAAAAGCTTTGAAGCAAAAGACGAAAGAAGAATTAGAGGAAATAATAAGATTAGGAGATCATGAAAATTATGATAACAGTGTTTCTGAGGATGAAGAGTTGACTATAACAAGACAAAAAAATTATAAAATCCAAAATAGAATGGGAAGAAAGACAACGTCGAGCAAGAACTGGTGAAGATTCAGTTAATGAACCTGGGGGAGGTAGTACTTCTCGATCTCGAGAATTCAAAAGATCATTCAGTACCATTGATTCTAAAAGAAGTGGGAGGGAACATCAGTGGAGTAATTCTGACTCTCCTAGAGCTATATTGGCAAATATGGATCCCATTCTTGAAAAATCAAAGAGTTCGAAGCAACCAAAACTCGCTGCAAGCTTTATGAAAAATGCAAAAGCAAAGTTAGGAAAAGCAATTTCAAAATTAATATTGCATGAAGCTTTACCGGCAAGAATTGCAGAGTCACCATTTCTACAACCCTTACTTCAAGTTACAGTTGAAGTTGGAAAATCAGTTAAGGGTCCTTCAGCTTATGAGGTGACAGAGTGTATTTAGAAGAAGAGTTCAGAGAAATACAAGAATGGGTGAAAGAGTTTAATCCTATCTGGGAAGAAATAGGTGTGACCATCATGTGTGATAATTGATTGTGAAGAGGTATACCAACGGTATAGAACTCTTACGACCAGAGATTACTAGATTTGCTACCAATTTCATTAATTTGGTGAGAATTGTTAGAAGCAAACAAGCACTCAAAGAAATGGTGACTTCTGCAGAATGGAAAAGGTCCATGTATGCAAGAAAAACAGTTGGATTAGAGATGATGGAAGTTATTAACTCCACTCAGTTTTGGAAAAAAGGAGGGTGATGTCTTAAAGATCCAAGAACCATTGGTTAAAGTATTAAGAATGTGTGATGGTGATGAAAAACCGACTATGAGTTTTATTTATGAAGCTATGGATAGAGAAAAATTGGCGATTCGAAGAGATTGTCGATATTACCAGAAATATTGGGAAGTAATTTATAGGCGATTGAGCAATCAACTTCACAATGATTTGCATTATGCTGGTCTTTTATAAAACTTTTAAATTTAAATTATGATATGTTGTTTAAATATTTATTATATTATTTTTATATAGGATATTTCTTAAATCCATAATTTCTATATGGAGACAATTCCACAAGTTATGTGATTTATGAAACCATGAATGGGGTGAAAAATGTCATACAAAGGATAAAGCCCAACTTGAATGATCAAATTTTGGCAATGAACCAGGTATGTATTTTATATACTTTAAATTGTTTTGAATTTATATATTATCATGTTTTAACTACTAATTCATTTATTTATAGTTATTGTTATATATAGATAAAATAGATTCTTTTGGAATACCATTAACTCAAGCTGTAATTTTGAAGACTAACCCTGGTAAATAAAAAGAATTCAATATTTATAGTTTTGTAGATAATGATGATATATTTATAAATACTTTATGAATTATATCTTAATATTTGTGTTTTTTTAGCTGAATGGAGGATCAATCATGGATATTGTGCACCTCAACTTCAGCGCATTGATGTCAGAGTTTTGAGTCAAATAACCTCTTCTTCAAATTGTGAGTGCAATTGGAGTACATTTAGTATTATCCATACAAAGAAGAGAAATAGGCACAATCATAAAAAGCTTCAAAAATTGGTTTATGTCCATTATAATATGAGGTTGAAGCTAAGACACATGAAAAGAAAAAGTGCACAAGAGCTAGAAATGCGTTTAATCTAATCAATCTTGAAAATATTTTTGAAGATGATCCACTAAAAGCATGGGTTGAAGAAAGAGAAGATGCTATGCTCGATAGTGAACAAAATTTCTCATGGTTGCCTGAATAGTTACTTAATGAAATAGATGAAGAAACTCAAGGTGAAGATATGCATGACATTTCACCTACTCCATCTAATGATGAAAGTGTTCAACTATCGACGTCAAGTGGTGGTGATGATGGTGACGGTGATGGTGGTGGTGGTGATGATCATGGTGGTGATAATGTAGGTATGTACCAACCAAAATATGTGCACACTTATTCCAATACTTTTTATGGAGATCAAGGTACGTCCAGATATCCTTATGCTGATGATTCAGGTTTGTATGGAACAAATACATCTATTGGTTTGAAAAATAGAAGAGATGAGGATGATAGAACTCATAGGAGGATGAGTGAACAATTTTATGATTCATTTGCAGGTTCATCATCATATAGTTTAGCTACAAATGATAATGAAATTAGTGAATCATCTCAGGGTTCTCATTCCAACCAACCAAATGCATATTATACACCTTACCTTGAACAAAATCCAAGTTATGGATATTTTAATCATCATTTATTATACAACATTTTTCCTACCAACGATGCATCTTATGATGCACACAATGTGATGTCTTTACATGGAATAGGAATGAATCAAAACCAAGACAATGATAAAGATTAAAATGGTTTAGATCCACCACGCCATTCATTTTGGTGGTGAAGAAATAAATCTTTGTATTTATTTATTTATTTTCTTTTTAAGTTATGTAAAATGAATTCTCTTATGTTAAAATATGATAACTTTGATATGTTTTTAATGAGATTATTTATATGTCTCATACCTATTGTTATTATCTACCATGCAGGAGAGTCAAATGATAGCACTATATAAAAATGTAGTTGTAAAATGTATAAATAAATATTTTAAAAGTATTATGATTTTTAAGGAAGAAATCAAGCCCGCAACAGCCGTAACACATTACGTAACGTCCGCAGCATTCACAACTGCAACACCACAACCGCGACAGATGCCGCAACCGCTATTTTATACTATGGAAGTACCATCTGAACTCTTTTTAAAGTTAAACCATATTTTTGTTATTAATAATGAAAGATAAAACCATAAACAAACCAGACACATAAGGTTAGATGATGAAGCATACATGAGCATCAGCAGCAGAAGAAACTAGGACGTTAAGATTGGTGGAAAATGCTAAACCGCTGATGCGTTTTTGGTGACCCTTCAATTTTGTTTTGACCTAAAATAAAAAAATGCACCTCTTTTTGTGTTAAATATCTAAAGGTACTACTACTAATGAAAGACACAGATATACTAAAATAATCTACCTCGTCTACCATGACATTGTAAATATGGATGGCAGAGTCATCCATTCCAATCGCTATGATATTACTATCTTGCGGATGAAATGCCAAGAATGTTGAATCTGGAGGAGGTGCCATAAAAGTTGTCATTACCTGCGGATCAATGCAATTTCACACCAACTAAAAGATAGTTGAAGATGCAATTAAGGTTGACAACAAACTCTATGCTAGCTATAGTAATTAAAAAATATGGATCAGATCGGCTGATTCAAATTGTTAGCAGTTCAACCATACAGATTGAACACAGAAACTAGCACACGACAAGAATTGACAGCAAAGAAAATCAGAACTATAACACCAAAAAAATGGATAAAGATTTTAATTTAACAAGTGGCTTTTTTCATTATGTTTTGGGCATGGAATTTTGTGGATATACTTTTTCTTAATTTGTTCTGATTTTAATATTTTTCTTATTTTATATGAAAAAACATTCATTGCTATTTTTTTTCATTTTTCAATAAGGTTGAACCATGAACCAAAGAGCCAAACAATTCAACCTCTTGGCTAAGCTCAAAATTTGTAGCCACAATAGAAAATTTTCAGAATACACATTAGTTTACCTTGAATGTCATCATATTAAACAATGAAACCTTTCCACCACATGCAGACATTACATAGGAGTCATTCTTTGACAGTCCTATGCATGGCACTGTATCTTCAAAATTTTTAGGGACATCATTAGTCATAAGAAATCCACTGTTTGGTTGCGAAAGTTATGGAACAACGCTAGCAGTAGCCTATAAACCACAGAAGATAAATGAACGATTATGCATAGAAACTTTCTACCAATATCATAAGTACAAAACATGCATATGAACCTTCATACGTAAATTTTCATGTATATTTCAATATATAATATATTGATTCCTCCAGAGAATAGATCACCTTGCCATTAGGATTTTGATTGCTGCGATTCCATTTTCATAGCTTTTAGACCCCATTTGTTCCAAGGGTAAAAACCCCGACAACATAATTTGTGTACAGAAGTCTAGCAACCTTGATATATAGACAATGTTTATATTGATAAAATGAACAAGATATGCCTAAAAGATAATGTTAAAAAATAGAAAGATAAAAAAATATTAAAGTAAAACCTTGCTAGCAGTATCCAAGTTGTCTGGAATGGTGACTGTTCGACAATGTGTGGGGTCAACAATTTCAGTTAGTTCCCAAGGTTTGGTTTTATCAGACATATGTTCCAAATTCCTTATGATTGGGAGATGAACATCCCTTTAGACGAATCGAGTTGGATGGCTCTTTAACAAAGATCATCAAATCATCTTTTGATTTGCAACTGGTACAGAAGGGTTTGTCCAGTGATGGTTTTCAGGTAAAGGTCGCCAGCTGGGGTTATGCATGGAACTCCTGCATTATTAATTTTAGGTCGGTTGAAGAGCTATCAGAGATGTGGATGAAGAAGAAATAGGATCTATTTTTCTGATTTGACTGGCTTGATCCCATTCTGAGTAAAGATGGAATCCCAATGGCGTACTGCTCGATTGAATTGTATGGTGTGCCACTATTATACTGGCATGTTTCTTTCCTGGAGAGGTTTGTTGGGCGATGGGGGATGATGGTCTGCATTCAGAAGTTGATGAAGAATATAGAGGATTTGTCGGCGACAAGGTTACTGGTGAGAGTGGCAAGCCCTTTCGACATTCTGAGTACGATCACATTAGGATCATATGGGAGATCCTTTAAGGTGAAAATTAAGCCGGGGTCGATGTTTAGAAAACTGAGAGTTCTTCTAGAAAAGGCATCAGAGGGGCTCTGATAACTCCGTAAAAGATAGTGTTCTGGGTATTTTTACTTAGGTTATTGTTTGTCTAAAAGCCATTTGACATAGCATTTTAGTTGCATATAGTTGCACGTAGTATACATTTACATGTGGTAGATAAGATTTGTCGAGGCAAACTTTATTTGGTTTAACTGATGCTACTGAAGAGGAAGGTTGTTTGTTGGTTGTGTTGATGCATGAAATTACGAAGGAGTAATTTATTTGCCGAGACAAATCAATTTTCTAGGGTTAGTGGCGCAGGAAAAGGCGATAGTGAGGAACACATTTTCTTACCTAGGAGAGAGATATCATGCAAGTCTGATGCAGCCTGACAACACTGCTGACATCACTTGACCAGCTTCAACCTCACTTGCACTCATGCCCTTATTAAGTTAATAGGGACCACTTCCAGATGCTTTATAATTCACAAACTGGGTATAGTATTGAGGGTATTTATATAATTTCCAAGGGCACTAAACCCTAGAAAATCCCAATATAAATACACTGTTATAACTCTTCAAAAAGGGTAGGTGAATGAGGATAACCAAAGAGAAGAAGAGAGAAGAATATACCCGAGGCTTGGAGTAGGTGGCTGCAGCGCTCACTTTTACACCATTCCCCACTTGACCGTTCTTGGGTGCCCTCCATAGCTGGACTTCATTAGAGCGGCAACCAGGCCTCTAGAGAGGCTAGTTGCTAGAGCAGGCATGGTGGTGGTCCGAATGTCACAACAGAGCTATGATTTTGGGAGTTTTTCTTCCTTTGTTTTTATTTCCATATCGTTTAAAGGGTTGTACTTAAAGAATGATTTTTGGGATGATATTTATCGCACTATGAACTGTTTTACTTGGTGTTGGATGTTGCTTGGTTGAAACGATATTTTTTTAATGAACGATGAAGTTTATTTATGCTAAGTGTTGTTTTGTTCATTGTTTTAATATTTTGCCATGACAATGTAAGAGCTTTTGAGAGATTGCCTGGTGCCTCGGCAAAACATTCATGGTCTTTGTAAGAGTTTTTGAGAGATTACCATTTTTCTAGAAATAGATGCCTGATATTACGAGAGTTAGGATAGATTTATGTGAACAACGAAACTAATCCGGGATGGTGAGGTTCTAATCTGTCTCATAGATAAAGAGAGGGTTTCATTCGACTAAAAGGGGTAAATACTTGAGTAAGATAGGCAAAGGCTACAATTTACACTGAGGGGTATTACCACAACAACAGTTTGACAAACCAAGGGTTGTAGATCATGCCGAGTAGTATTACCGTAGCAACGGTCCCTGAATACTTTAGTAATCATGCCGGACAGCCTAAGCATAGCGCACCAAATCGTTCTTAGCCTAAGCATAGCGCACCAAATCATTCTTAGCATAAAATAACTTCTCACCATAGAAAACCCAACCTAAGTGCTCCGTTAGAAGTCTGATTGTGCGAGGTTTTTTCTAAATATATCAAACTCAACATTTTTATTTGCTTAGACAACTTTTATTTGTTTACATTTGCATATTTTTATTGCATCGACCAAACTTTTCTGCACACCATACTTTTCTGCACACCATACTTTACAATATTTCCTGCATCGATAATAGTTTTCCATCTGTTTATACTATTCGATACTGTTTGTTTTTCTTTTTTGACAAGAACCTTAGGACTAACTAGTGACACCTAGTTCTACCTGTAGCAAAATATCAAAAAAATTCCTACCAATCCCTGTAGAGATGATACTCAACTTACTACTATATTACTTGCATCGATTGTGTACACTTGCACATATTTGTTTGCCTTAGCATATACATTACCAAGAGATCAAGTTTTTGGCACTGTTGCCGGGGATTGGCAAATGGAGAAATTTTGATCATATTTTCCATAGCAATTTTTATTTTCTTATCACAATTTCTTTATTTATTTTACTTGTTTGTTTTCTTATTTTTTTGTAGGTTTTTGTCGTTGCATGACCAAGAGATCTGCTGACGAACTATTAATACCATTCGGCCCTGAGATCGAGCAGTCATTCAGACAAAGGTGACGCGCTCAGCATGCCAGAGACTATATGAATCGACTGTAGTATCAAGCTGATAACACTATGGAAGACCATGCAGATCCCGACGTCGCAACAAATAATATTCACCAAAATACTGCAAGACCACGAGCTATACTAGATCACTTAAATCTTATTCTCGATGATCTCAACCTTGGAATCGTGCCATCGAAAATACATGAAGCTCACTTCAAACTCTAGCCAGTGATGTTTAACATGCTCAATTCTATTAATCAGTTTGGTGGCTTGTCTAATGAAGATGCTAGACAACATGTGCGTACTTTCCTTGAGGTGTGCGTCTCATTTAGACAACAAGGTGTGCACTAGGATATGCTGAAACTAAAATTATTCCCATACTATTGGCACAACCGAGCAAGAGCGTGGTTGAGTGGAGTCCTATCTGGTTCAATAGAATCTTGGGATGACTTAAGCAAATTATTTTTGCTTAGATACAACCCGCCCAATATGCACACCCAGCTCCACAATGACATTGCAAGTTTTTGCCAAAGGGATGATGAATCTATGTATGAGTGTTGGGATAGATACAAAATTTTGTTTCGAAAATGCACTAACCATGGATTCCACGACTAGACTCAAGTCGTCATGTTTTATAATGGTGTCAATGCACCTACTCATATGATGTTGGATGCATCGGCGAATGACACATTCCTTGACAAAACACCCGAGGAAGCCTTTGATATCCTCAATCAGATATCCAATAATGACTATCAATTCCATTCTGTAAGGCTTGGAACCAATAGGAAAATATTTGGGGCGTATGAACTTGACGGTAAGGATTCAGTTTTTGCCAAACTTTCTGCTATAACCAACATGCTGAAAAATTTACAGTGTTACAGTGTGGTGAAAGAAGTCAAGGCAACTAACTCAGCATGCATTTTTTTTCATGGCAACCATCAAGAGAGTGAATGCCCAGAAAACCAGGAGTCCATCAATTTTGTGGGCAATTTCTACAGAAGCAATAACAACCCTTACTCTAATACATACAATCCTAGATGACGACAACATCCAAATTTTTTATGGGGGTAATCAAGGAACAACAATAACAATTATGCAGGCAATTTTAATAGGTCATAGAAAAACATTTCTGAACACTTAAGTTCGCAACATCAATAGGTGCCCTGGCAAGGTAACAATAAAAATAATGCATCTTCGTCAAATTTTACCTCCCTTGAAGCTTCACTGCAGGAATTTATGGCCTTGACAAAAGATTTCATAGATTCAACAAATACCTTGATACACGAGTACTCATCGACAATCAAGAATTAAGGTGCTTTATTACATAGCCAAGCAGCTCTATTACAAAGCCATAGCTCATCATTGAGAGCGTTAGATAATCAAGTGGGCCAAATAGCCACAACAATACATTTCGGCCACAAGGAACCCTCCCTAGTGATACTCATGTCACTAAGTCTCATGAAAGGAGCGATGTAGTGCGCTTACACTTAGGAGTTGTACCAAATTAATCTTGATGATAAGTTTGGGGGAAATAAGCAAGAAATTTTTTCCAAGGCATTAAAAAGGAAGAACTAGAAGGTCAAATTGAACAGGTTGTACAAGAAGACTTGCTTGAGGAGAAGGAAAAAGACGAGGGGTTCACAAGCAAACTAAAAGATGGTGGAAAATGTATTGTCAAGGCAAAAGATTTACCCCCATCTACAGTAGATGAAATTAGACCTTCACTTTATTTCCCTCAATGGTTGAAGAAGCATAATGATGAGATCTAATTTAAAAGGTTTTTTGATGTCCTTGATAAGTTGCACATCAATGTCCCACTACTCGAAGCTATTGATCATATGCCTTCTTACGCCAATTTCTTGAAAGATATTGTAACAAAGAAGAGGAAAGTGGAAAGAATCGAAAATGCTACC